CAGGAATGACAACAATTGTCAATTATATTTCTTTTCTTCTCCTTGGGTGAACCTGAGGACACAACTGGGTGAGCATTCTGTTGTTCTCCTCCAGTTCTTATACACAGTGTGAGAGATCCACTTTGTCACCTCTCTTCTTCCATGTGATCTATAAAACCTCTAAGACAGTCAGTCCACATTACAGTGCCATTGCTGCCTACAACCCGTCTATACTCCAGAATCTCTCTTGCCAGCCCAGCTGGTGCAGTTGTCCATCTTAAGAAATAGTTTGACAAAATCAAGGCTTGCATAAGACCTGGTTGCCTGCACCTCATTTAAAGTAAGGCAGAGGCATCTGCCTGGAGGAAGCAACCAGATGAGACTGATTATTTGTGATCCCTTAATTATGGAAGCATATTGAAGTTTCTAATATCTTTTTAAAGGTTTGTACAGAGGTAGTAGATTCTGTTTTTCTAACTGGATAATGCAAAGGATATGGAGAAATTACTGCTTTCAAGCACAGATATAACCAAAATTCTCCACGTTTTTCCACCTCCTGATTGAATTACAGCAATATATTTTGCACAAAATTACTTCTGCAAATCACTGTCACTGTTCTCAACCAGAATATAATGGCCTATATTCACCTACCAGCACTAGACTGGATCCCCTTTCATTTCAGTGAAATTCAAGGTTTGAAACTTAGGAGCTTTAAAGAATACCCTTCCCTTCATGTTGTATACCGCCAGTTACAATCAGATCCCATGTTGCTAAGGCCGACACACCATGTTTTCAGTCATGACAATTACAACTTCCTTATGTGGCCAAAGAGAGACAAGTTTCATGACTTTCAGCACCTACTGCAAAAGGTGATGAAAATTACTAAATCATCTACTGAGACCATCAGGCTCTTGCTAAAGCAGTGGATTACAATGCAGGTTCTCTAAAGAGTGTCAGATACCCCTCACCCATAAAATATGTTTCCTTACCCTGAAATGCTTAATCCACAATTGAATTCTGTATAGTGAGAGCCCAAATGATTTTAAACAAGTAGGGAATTAGAAGGGAACACTTACAAATACAAGATTTTCCGATTCTTTTACACATCTCTTAAAAGTTCCAAAGGTACCTTACATTGTATTAACATTTAATGTCAAGCCTCTGCAATGTTTGTGCTTTGCTAGTATTGCATCCTAGAGTTTGTGATAAAATCTGCATGTAGTGCTTATCTGCATGCAGTGCCTCAAATTCCATGCTAGGCATATAAAATAATCAGAAAGGAAAAAATTCTGAAACCCTCTATTAGAATGATCACAGCTTTCCAAGAGGGGCAAGACCCAAGTGACTGCACCAAGTGACTGGTGGCCATAGGTTTGGAATGCAAATTTAATTCTGGAGACAGTATCAGACCATTGAATTTTTCACAGTTTTAAGACTCGCCCCCTAGGACACAAAGTGAACTGCACTGCTCACTAGTTACCCAAGCAAATCTGCTGCATGTTACTGAATCCTGTGGAGGAGGATTTTCATTTCAATAGTTGAAATGTGTTAACAATTACCACATTTTGGATTTTCTCATGTCATTGATCTGTATCCATAATCCATCTCCATAAATGGATAAGGAACTGCCAAGGAAACTTAGAGGGAAAAAAGCAGCTTATAGAAGGTGGAAGTGAGGACAGGCAACCTGGGAAGAATACAGTAATGTTGTCCAGGAAGCCAGGTACCAGGTCAGGAAAGCTAAGGCCCAGTTAGAATTAAATCTGGCAAGGGATGTTAAAGATAACAGGAAAGGCTTCTATAGGTACGTAGCAAATAAAAGACAGGCTAGGGACAATGTGGGCCCTCTCCAGAAGGTATCGGGAGAACTGGCTACCCTGGATTTGGAGAAGGCTGAGGTTCTTAATGACTTCTTTGCCTCAGTCTTCACTACTAAATGCTCTGACCAAGTCTTGGAAGGCAGACACAGGCACTGTGAGACTGAAGACCTTAGGTCCACTGTAGGAGAGGAT